GATAAAGGTGACATTTTAAAAACACAAGTGACCAAGAATGCTCACTGTCATGGTTGATGTATTTCCCAATCTCTTGCAAAATCTGTGTTAAAAAATGGTTCTGATCTAAGAAAAAATTACGAACTAGCACTCACCAGATGTCCAGCATTTCCCCTAGAATATTCAGACACCTTCGTCCTGATACTGACGAAGGTGTCTGAATATTCTTGGGGAAATGCTCTTCCTGATGTCTTTTCTTTCCTTTGCTACCCTGGCGGGCTGGGGTGAGAAAACAGGTGCTGGTCTCTTACATTGTCTCATTTCTGCACGACTGACTTTCAAAATTTCCAGGAAGTCCTCTCTAGAAGAGGACCGTTGCTAAACCAAAACCACCATGAAGCAGAACAGATTTCTGGCCCTGTGTGTGGAGAATTTTGTTCAGAAGGTTTGGTTGGTTGTGTAATTGAAGGGCTCCCTACATGTAAAAAACAGTTTGCTGTGATCTGGCCACAGTAACACAACATCTGCCTCTCCCTTGGGACTGCCTGTGACCCCTCTGGGGCCCAGCAGCCATCAGGGACACAGCCAGCCTCTGGCTCCAGGCTGGGTTTCCACAGACTCTATTGGGAACAAGCTCCTGGGAAATTTCCCAGCCCCGAGCTTTGTGTAGAGACAAAGGCTGAGGTCCCAGCAAGATAAGAAAAGGACAGGGCATGGCCACACCCAGCTGTCTCTACAGGGTTCTCTTGGGAGCCATGTCACCAAGGAGTCCCCTCTGGGGTAAGACTGGCCCTCTCGATGCTTCCCTGAACTGTCCCTCCACAACACTGACCCCTGGGCCCCACCACTGGCATCGTTTCTGTACTGTGTCCTCACAATAGATGGCAAATCCCACGAGGGGACAGATCCGCTGTTGTGCTCCCCGTGCGATCCTGGGTGCCTGGGACATCGTCAGTGCTCCCTAAGTGCGTGAAACCTATGTGGACGGAGCATCGGAAGGATGGAGGCAGAGATGAAATAACGAATTCCTTTGAGATCCCCAACCCCTTACCCTTGCCGTTCACTCATGTAGACCATTTCCTAGGACAGAGCCATCTGACCCGATGAGAAAGGAACCATGGCATCTTGAGGTTGTGACGACAGGTGCCACCGGGTTTTATATCATGCTTGCTGTGAGCCACTAGCCAAGGGCTTGGCACACACGCTCTCAAGTAATTCTCACGGCGGCGACTCAACAGACAGAGGAGCTGCCAAGGCTTGAGGAAACTGCCTGACCGAGGTGACCCCGCAGGGGAGTGGTAGAGCAGCGTCCAAGAATATTGGGGCAGTGCAGTGGGTGCCACGTGCTCTCCCAGCTAGCAGTCTGTGGGGGGCTGCAGTGCTCACTCCCTACTGAGCTATAACTTCTATGGACTCAACCATCTGTGTCCCTGGATCTCAGCACAGGTGCACGATAAGTATTCAGTAAACGAATGACTCTTTTTTTGTTTGTTTTGAGACAGAGTTTGTTTTCGAGATAGAGTCTTGCTCTGTCACCCAGGCTGGAGTGCAGTGGCACAATCTTGGCTCACTGCAACCTCCACCTCCTGGGTTCTAGCGATTTTCCTGCCTCAGCTTCCCAAGTAGCCGGGATTACAGGTGTGTACCACCATGCTCGGCTAATTTTTGTATTTTTAGTAGAGATGGGGTTTCACCATGTTGGTCAGGCTGGTCTCAAACTCCTGACCTCAGGTGATCCACCCACCTCGGCCTCCCAAAGTGCTGGGTTTACAGGTGTGAGCCACTGCGCCCAGCTGAACGACTCTTAACAGCAAAATAATATGAGAATCATGGGTAGAAAATCTTGGAGATGCGGTGTGTATTTCACACTCACGCACATCTCCTCATGGGCTCAGGATAAGCCCATTTTGTCCCAGTGCCTCTCCCACCGCATCCCCTCCCTAACTCCTGAAAAGAAAATTAGAAAAAAAAAAGGATAAGCCCATTTTAGGTCTCAGTGAGCACCCCTGGCTGGTGGCGACTGTACTGGACAACTCAGTGCTGAGAATCTCAAGGGTCAGGTGACTGAAAATCCCTTTATGTGTCCAGAAATCCTGAGAATCAGAAACTACTGAGCTGCTATTTCCAGATCTAACGGGCTCTGCACTCTCCCTGTATGCCAGGCTGGACCAAGAGTGGGACGTGAGTGTCAGGTTTGCCAGGTCCGTGTCACTCTTAGAACAGCGGACCTGCTCACATGCAGGCTGCTGGGACCCTCGAAGAGAGTCCGATGCAGCGGGGCTGGGTATGGCCAGAGGATGTGCTTTTCCAACAGGCTCTGGGTTGATTTGGACATTGCCAGCCTGGGGACCCCACCTGGAGACCTCCTGCCCTGCCCACCACCCCAGGGGGCAGGTAATATGTTTTCCCCATTACAGGTGAGGAAACTGAGGCACAGAAAAGCTGAATCCAAGCATTATCACAGACATCAGTCCACAGGACGAAGGGGCACACAGTCCACGAACGAAGAGAAGCCAAGTCCTTACTCTGGAAATGCTGCCGAAAATCAGTAAAACCTTTCTAGAGTGCAGAAGGCACCAGTGACATGTGTGCCTGGGAGGGATGCCTGAAAGGCATCTACAAAGACAGTGACAGTGGTGATTTGGGTGGGTGTCACAGGAAGGAAGACCGATAGCCCCCCCACACCCTGGGTGATAGCGGGAGAGGAGCTGCTTCGGGGGCCTTCTCTCCATCCCTGCCCTCCCCAAGCACCCACGAATGCGGCCCCACAGTGAGGCCCCTGTCCCCAAGCCCACAGGGCCCTGCCGTGATGTTCTCATGAATCAGCCCGACAGGGAACAAAACCCAGCCGGCTGCGCTGCTCAGGAAGACTGTTTTCTCTTAAAGAGGGCACAAAGAGCTCAGTAAATTGATGCCCTGGGACTTCTTTCCAGCCCGGCCGGGAAATTCCTCCTAATCAGCTGCTTCATTTCCCTCCCATTAAATCAGTGGAATTTCCCTTCATTAAGCTTTTCCCAAACAAAGACTGCATGTGCTAAAGGAGAAGACATGGACGCTGTCTACTGGGGCTCTTCAGGGCTGCCGACGGCAGAGTCACCGGGCAGGGATCCCAGGAAGAATGGGTATCATCTGGGTACAACTGATGCTGCGGTGTCTTCAGAGACAGGGCAAGCCCAGGAGGCTGGTGGTGGGAGCATGGGCCATGTCCCAGGAGGCAGGAAGATTTGGGCATCTGAGGGCCCAGGGCTCGTTACAGCCTTGATTTCATTTCTTCTTTAAAGAGGGTCCCTCAAATATGAAATCTTCAGCATTGCCCTGTTATGAGCTCACCTGTGGGCTCTCAAAATCCCTATGTTAAAGTCCTAACTCTCAAGTGCACCTCAGAATGTATTTGGAGATCTTCAAAGTGACCGGGTACGGTGGCTCACGCCTGTAATCCCAACTCTTTGGGAGGCCAAGGCAGGCGGATCACCTGAGGTCAAGAGTTCGAGACCAGCCTGGCCAACATAGCAAAACCCCATTTCTACTAAAAATACAAAAATTATCCAGGCATAGTGGCACACACCAGTAGTCCCAGCTATTTGGGAGGTTAAGCCAGGAGAATCGCTTGAACCCAGGAGGCGGAGGCTGCAGTGAGCAGAGATGACACCGTTGCACTCCAGCCTGGGCAACAAGAGCAAAACTCTGTCTCAAACAAAACCAAACAAAATCAGAGATAATCAAGGTGAAATGAGGCCTTGAGGGTAGGCCCTAATCCAAGACATTTGGGGTTCTTAGAAGGGGAGATTAGGGCCCAGCACACACAGGGAAGACCACCTAAAGACGCAGGGAAGAAGACAGCCGTCTGCAAGCCAAGGAGAGAGCCCTCCGGAGACACCAACCCTGCCGGCACCTTGACCTCAGACTTCCAGTCTCCAGGGCTATGAGAAGCCGGATTCCTGTTGTCGAAGCCTCCTGCCTGGTCTGTGGTCCTCTATCATGGCAGCCTGAGCTGCCCATCACTCCCCCAAGCAGGATCTGCCCCCAGGTGGATGTGACAAGCATCCCCACTTTACAGATCAGTGAACAGAGGCTGAGGGCCAGTGCCTTCTTAGCAGCTGTAAAGCTCTAGAGAACCCCAGAACTGGCCGTGGGTCTCGGGCTCCCAGGCCATGAGCTGTTCTATAAGAATGAGTGGCGTGAGACCAGGCAGGGACTGGCAGCCCCAACGAGGGTGGGGCCCTTTTTGAAGGACACTCTGGAAAGGCCCCACCCAGAAATTTCACTTCTAGGGACTTTTTTTTTCCTTTGTTGAGATGGCGCTTTCTTCTTGTCACACAGCTGGAGTACCACGGCGCAGTCTCATCTCACTGCAACCTCCGCCTCCCGGGTTCAAGCAATTCTCCTGCCTCAGCCCCTCAAGTAACTGGGATTACAGGCATGCACCACCACACCCAGCTAATTTTTCCGTTTTTAGTAGAGTCGAGGTTTCACTATGTTGGTCAGGCTGGTCTCGAACTGCCGACCTCAGGTGATCCACCCGCCTTGGCCTCCCAAAGTGCTGGGATTACAGGCATGACCCATTGAGCCCGGCCTCCCTGATCTTACATAATTATGTGTAACTATATTATGACGTAGCTTTATATGACGGGTATGTAACTGTCATTTCATCCAATTTTTTGTGGAAAAAAAAAGCACGCATGTGCACACACACACACCACACACACACACACACAGAAAAACAACTGGAAGGATGTGCACCAAGAAGTCTAACAGTAATTCTCCCAGCTGATGGGTTACGGGAGATTGTTTATCTTCAGGCTCGTCTGATGTTCCTACAGATTCCAAATTTTCTACAAAAGTGTTCATTGGTAATAGGGAATTTTTTTTTTTTCTTTAACTTAATCCCAAATGTGATAGTAGGGAAAAACATTCTTATTTTGAAAGAAAGAGAAAAGAAGACTTTGGACCTCTTCCCAGGCCCCCCGAGGGAACACTTGCAGCTGGCCTTGGGTGTCAGGGCTTGGAGAACACCGTCCTACCTGTCAGACTGAACTCCGTTCCTCAGGGAGCCCACGTAGGTCTTCTTTTTATCCACGGGCATCACGTCCACGTAGCCCCCGCTCTCGTTACTGATGACTCCTGCGTGCACGGCCGTCTTACAGATGCTGGAAGTCTGGAGGCACAGAAGGGCTCTGATCAGTGACGGCGATTCCAGCTCATGGGTCAAGCCGCCTGGGGCTCGGCCATGCAGTGCCTGGTGACGTGGCTGGTGGGGTGTCAATCCCATCAACCCCTAGGAAATAATCATCACTACCTAGATTCCTCCGTGGTCTCTCCAGAGAGACTCAACATCATGCACTCATTCATTTGTTGAACAAGTATTTTTTTAAGCACCTATTATATGCCAGGCACTAGATTAGGAATTAGGGAAATTCGGCAGGGAACAAGATAAAGACCTTGGCTCCATGGAGCTGAGTGAGCAAATAAATAAATATACAAATGCGGTAGCGCCGGCTAGGAAGAAAACAAAACCCGCTCGCAAGGCTAGATGCCTGGGTGGAGGGGGTTACTTTAGAGCTCAGAACTGCTCAGGGAAGACTGAATGAGAGGAAATAGTCACAGCTGTGGGAATGTCTGCACAGAGCATCCCAGGGAGAGGGGAGGGCTTGTGCAAAGGCCCTGGGGTGGGTGTGCAATCATTATGTCCAAGAGAGAGACGGACAGCCAGGGTGGCTGGAATATAGTGAGCCAGGCAGAGTGTGGTGGGAGGGGTGGGCAGGGGCCTTTCATGCGGTGTACACTGGACACAGGATGGGGTCTGGACTGTTCTAGGTACGAAGAGAGCAGCTGGGTACCACCCAGAGGCAGGAGGGGCTGCTTTCTGACATCATCAAGTTCAGTTCCTGGATGATAAAACCTTCAAGTTAAGCTTACTTTTTTCTCTTCTTTTTGAGACAGAGTCTCACCCTGTCGCCCACACTGGAGTGTAACGGCACGATCGCAGCTCACTGCAATCTCTGCCTCCTGGGTTCATGCAATTCTCTTGCCTCAGCCTCCTGAGTAGCTGGGACTACAAGTACACACCACCATGCCCAGCTACTTTTTGTATTTTAGGTAGAGATGGGGTTTCACCATGTTGGCCAGGTTGGTCTCGATCTCTTGGCCTCATGATCTGCCTGCCTTGGCTTCCCAAAGTGCTGGGATTACAGGCGTGAGACACTGCACCTGGCCTAAACTTTCATTAGCATCTTAACTTCTCCAATAGAAAAACGGTCCTCAGGATCGGCTGTCAGAGAGGAACCAGTCCACATTTCTCAAAGTTGAGGGAATTCATTCGGGGTGGGTGGCAGCTGGGGCATGCTCAAGACGCAGATTCCCGGGCCTTGCCCTGGCCTACTGATTCACAGTCTCCTGGCCGAGGGCCACAGAGTCAGATGCACACTCAAGGTCAAGAAGTGCAGAGGTGCCTCCCTGACCTGGGCTACGATCTGTCCCTCTGGCCTGCGCTGAAATCCGATGCTGGGTTTGGTGGCAGTCCACACTTCTGCTGCACCCCACAACCACCTGCGGGATCTTTGCACGACGACCACGCCCAGTCCCCAATCCCCTCCCATGCTCACTGCACCCAGCTGCTCTGGGGTGCAGCCTGAGACTCAGCATCTTAAAACCCTCCCAGCTGGTTCTCCCACGCAGCCAGGGTGGCAGGTGGTGGGCTGAGTGGATTCCCTTGGCATGAACGGCCTCCTTCGCAGTGAGCAGGGCTGGCATGGATTCTGGGTATGTGGGATACCAGGCCCTGTGCCAACTACCTTTCGCTTATTATCTCACTTAATCCTCAAGCGAGGTGACCGGCTACCCCATTCCCACGTGACACAGCCTCGGCGAGGTTCAGTGACTTTCCCAAGGCCACACAGGCGATGAAGGGATTGTGAGACTCCAGCTGGGATCTGGCTAAGGGTGAAGTCCTTGCTTCTGCGGTCCGCAGAACAATGGTACCCAAAGATGTCCACAGCCTAATCCCCTGACTGGTGACTACGGGACCTTATATAGCAAACAAGGTTTAGAGACACAGCTACGTAAGGATCCTGAGGCAGGGAGAATAGCCTGGATTATCCTGTGGGCCTCATGTCATCCGAGGGGGGTCCTTAGACGACAGAGCTGGGAGGGTCAGAGACAGAAGCATGAGAAAGACTCTACCATCCACTGCTGACATTTTTGCTTTTTGAGGGGGGGTCTCTGCCATCCAGGCTGGAGGACAGTGGTGCCATCATGGCTGACTGCAGCCTCTACCATCCAGGCTCAAGCGATCCTCCCACCTCAGTCCCTCAAGTAGCTGGGACCACAGCTGTGTACCACAAAGCTTGCTAACTTTTAAAAATTATTTCTAGCCAGGTGCGGTGGCTTGTCCCTGTAATCCCAGCACTTTGGGAGGCTGAGGCAGGCAGCTCACAGGGTCAGGAGATCAAGACCATCCTGGCTAACATGGTGAAAACCCATCTCCACAAAATACAAAAATTAGCTGGGTGTGGTGGCATGGGAAGCTGAGGCAGGAGAATCACTTGAACCTGGGAGGCGGGGGTTGCAGCAAGCCGAGATTATGCCCACTGCACTCCTGCCTGGGTGACAGAGCGAGACTCCGTCTCAAAAATAAACAAATAAACACAAATTATTTCAAGATCTCGCTGTGCTGCCAGCGCTGGTCCTGAACTCCTGGGCTCAAGCAATCCTCCCGCCTTGGCGTCTCAAAGCATAAGCCACTGCACCCAGCCCCACTGCTATTTTGAAGATGAAAGAAGAGGCCAAGAGCCAAGGAAGGCAGGTGGCCTCTAGAAGAGAGAAGAGGCAAGAAAACACATTCTCCTCTGAAGCCTCTAGAAGGAACCAGCCCTGCTGCCACCTTGGTTTTAGCTTGGTGACACCTACATTGTACTGACCTCCAGAGCTGTAAAGATAAAAACGGGTGGATCACAAGGTCAGGAGTTCGAGACCAGCCCTGGCCAACATGGTGAAATCCCATCTCTACTAAAAATACAAAACTTAGCAGGGTGTGGTGGTAGATGCCCGTAATCCCAGCTACTGGGGAGGCTGAGGCAGGAGAATCTCTTGAACTTGGGAGGTGGAGGTTACAGTGAGCCAAGATTGTACCACGGACCTCAAGCCTGGGCGACACAGCCTGACTCTGTCACCAAAAAAAAAAAAATTTAAAAAGCAGCCAGACATGGTGGCACGTGCCTATAGTTCCAGCTACACGGGTGGATGAGATGGGAGGATCGCGTGAGCCCAGGAGGCTGAGGCCGCAGTGGGCTGTGATCACACCGCTGTGCTCCAGCCTGGGCGACAGGCTGTGAGACTTCCACCAGAAAAAAAAAAAAAAAAAAAAAAAGAGCAGAGCCAACATTCCAACATTAACAGTCATAGGCCTATTCAGAAAAATAAAAAGCAAAGAAAAAAGTGGAGCCAACACACATTCATATCAAAGACCTGAAAAGTGGATTTCCTGCTTTCCAGGATCAGTTTACTGGGTAGCTGATGGCCACTTTTTAAAATCCCTCAACTAACACATCTTCATCTTCAATGAATAAACTAAACCGATGAAGGCGGGGTTCCTGAACCCAGAGCGGGGTTTTGGGAATCTGGGAGGCCGTGGAGCTGCAGGCAGAAGGCCACGAACCTGCAGGGCTGGTGTTGGCACAGGGCCAGGGACACCCCTCAGAGCCCAGCAAACCGGGGTGGCCAGCCTCCCTGTGTGAACAAGGATGCGTGTTCCCCCTTTGGAGTAAAGATCCACAACTTCCCAGTTCTCAAAGAGCTTCATGCCCCCCTAAATACTAAGGAGCAGTCACTTTGCATCCATCTCAAAGAAAAGTGAGGAGACTTCTGAAATGAGGTGACCGTTTTAGAATTCCTCTAAAATCGCTGTGCCCGGGTCGAGTTTGCTAAGTGAACGCCGTGGTACTCACTGCTCTTCCCGGCAGGCGAAGCCTCCGTGCTTGGTAAGCTCTCACATGTGTGCATGTATCAGAATCTACCCCTGCCCCCACCCGAGGGCCGGAGCAGATTTCTAGGCCCTGGCCTCATCGTTCAGGATCAGCGGGGCTGGGTGGAGCCAGAGAAGCTGCCTTTCCAACAACAACAAGATTCAGTAAGACCTCCAGGCTTTCTGTCTCCCTGGCCGCTTCCCAACCGAGCTCCAGCAGGGACCCATCCCTCTGCGTTGCAAACTCAACCTCTAAAATCCCTGGCCGGGGAGGGACACCCTCCTGGCTGAGAGCAGCCAAGAGACTCTGGTGGGCAGCCCCAGAGGTGGTGCTTTGCCTCAGTCCCTGGAGGATTTCTGGACACCGGTGACACAAAGTTTGCTGTGACAACATCAAGCTGCAGGCCGTGAGTATGGAAAGCTCACGCCCACGGCGGGATCCTTCTCATGCCACCGGCCGGTGCCACCCCATGAACAATACACATCCCCCACGCAAACACCTTCCCTCCTCTCTCCCTCCTGCCTCCCACACCTTTCCTCTCACCCGGGTTCTGTAAAAGGGACAAGGCATCCACTTTCTTTTCTGAGGGCCTGTTGCAACAGGAATACCCGAGTATTTATTAACAATTGCTATCTGTGAGGCTGGTAACCAATCCTGCAGCCGCCACCTGCTGGCTGTGTGACCCGGGGTGACCTACGTGAGCCCCGGAGCCCTGCCTTTCTCCGCATAAAGCAGGGGTGGTCACAGGTCACTTCTGTGCACATCTCTGTTCTAAGCATTTCACATGCACTGACGCAGTAATCCCAATAACGCTACAGGGTAGGTATTATCATGATTAATCCCTTTCAACAGACAGGCACACTGAGGCAGAGGGGGCTCATGCCTTGCCCCCAAATCACTCAGCTGATAAAGGTCAGAGGCAGACTGCCATGTGGAGCCAGCAATCTGTCCACTGTCCTATCTGGGGTGATGACAGTGAGGAAGAAGAGGGCCACTGTGAAGATTAAATAAGGGCTGGGTTCAGTGGCTCACGCCTGTAATCCCAGCACTTTGGAAGGCTGAGGCAGGCACATCACTTGAGGTCAGGAGTTCAAGACCAACCAAGCCAACATGGAGAAACCTCATCTCTACCAAAAACACAAAGATTAGCCAGGTGTGGAGGTGGGCGCCTGTAATACCAGCTACTCAGGAGGCGGAGGCAGGAGAATTGCTTGATGCCAGGAGGTGGAGGCTGCAGTGAGCAAAGATCGTGCCACTGTACTCCAGCCTGGGTGATGGAGCGAGACTCTGTCTCAAAAAAAAAAAAAAAAAAGATTAAATAAGACCCCAGGCTTAATGCAGGATGGCACACAGCACAAGCTCAGTAGATGTCAGTCAAGACAAATGCCACTGCCATGACTGTCACGATAGAAAATTCCCAAGGGATTGTCATCACTAGCCAGTGGTCCTCAACAGGCAGTCCCAGACCTGCAGCACCTGGGAACCTGCAGGAAATGCAGATTCTCTGGCTCCACCCAGCCCCGGTGATCCTGAAGGCTGAGGGTGAGGTCTGGAAATCTGCTCCAGACCTCGAGCAGGCTTGGGGGTGGATTCTGACACATGCACTAGTGTGAGAAGTATCCAAGCACCAAGCAGGGCAGGGAGGACACAAGACTGAGGTTCAGAGGAGGGAAAACGTTTCCCAGATTCGCACAACTGGCAGATGGCATTGCTGGGGTGCAGCTTTCCCAGCCACACCTCAATGCTCTGTCTGCAGTTCGCCACACGGCGAGGGGTCTGCCAGGAAACGCACTCCTGGTGAGCAGGCGGAAGCCGCGGGCATGAACAGGCCGTTAGAAGGTCTGAAGACAACGCCCCCCAATTCAGTCTCTTAACTAAACAGACATTTTCCAAAGCCATCATCATTTCCCAGAATACAGAGTGACCTAGAAACCAGGGCCAGAAAAGAACTCTCATACCGAGGTGGCTTTCTTTCCCTCCTTTTCTCCTTCCCTCTTCCCTCCTTCATTCTTTCCTGCCCCCGGCTTTTTTTTTTGAAAAGCTGTTTAAGTACTGACTACTGCAGTATCTTCATTTATTTATTCCTCCAACAAACGGTGATTATGTGTCAAGCCTCGTCATGAGCACTGGGGTCCCAAAAGCTCAAAATGCTAGTAAAACTTGTTAATGAAGACTGCGTGCAGCGTTTTACCTGCATGCCTGTTCCTATCAGTGCAATATGAATGCATTTTTTTGTTTTTTTAGTAGAGACAGGGTTTCACCATGTTGGTCTCGAACAGGCTGACCTCGTGATCTGCCCACCTCAGCCTCCCAAAGTGCTGGGATTACAGGCGTGAGCCACCGCGCCCAGCCCATCAACGGTATCTTTTGTGCCATTGTGTGACATTACTTCATCTCATTCAGTGCACTTAACTTTAAATTCCACTTTTTCAGAGAGTAATATTTCCACTCTTGCTTTTCATGTGTGTGTTTGTATTTGGCTGGGATAGCTTTGCCCAGCTCTTTATTTTTCAATCATTTGAAAACCTCACCCTCTGTCTCTTAATGGTAGAATTTGGTTCAAACATTTGGTGTAATAATCGACAAACATTATTTTACTCCTTCATAAAATTTTTAACTCTTAGAACTTAATTTTAGCTGAATCGCTTTCAAGGAGAAAAAGAGATCCATTTAAAGAGGAAAGAAAAAGGATGAGGGGGAAAAGCTTAGTCATGAAGCCCGCTCTGACCTTACAGAGCCCAGTGACCTCATAGTTACAGGAATCTGGAACAAATGAAGGCAGACAGAGGCAAAGATGGTGGGGGGGGTGGAGGGTTGGGGGGCAGCTGTAAAGGGGGGATGATGACGAGGCCGAGTAAGGCCCTAACTGGAGGCTGCGTACGCTGGCTCACCCCTACCTACAATCCCAGCACTTTGGGAGCCCAAGGCAAGAGACTCGCCCCAGCCCAGGAGTTCAAAATCAGCCTGGCCAACACAGTAAGACCCTGTCTCTGTTCAGAAAATAAAAAAATAAAACATATTAGCTGGAGATGAATAATGCTGCCCTAATCACGAAATTTTAAATCTAGAAGATTCCCTGGACGTGATAATCCCAGTTCTGGGTCATCCCACCACAAGGAAACAGCTTGGCAAGATCACACAGCCTGCTGGCAGCAGAACCGGGACCATAATCACATCATCTGGATCACCATGCCCCCAAATCCCGGACAACCAGAGGGAACAGACTATGTTCTGCAGGATTCACCTACTCAAAACCAGGCTAACGCTTCCTGGTTAAAATTCAGAGGGAAAAAATGGAGGAAGAGTTTCAGATAACGAGTGGTTATTTAGTAGTAAATTAGGGTAGTCTGTATTATCTTCTTTGTGCTTTTAGCTAAGTGTGTGCACAACTCAGAAGAAATACGGTGAGCGGGCATTCCTTTAAGGCAGAGCTGGGAAGATGTCTAAATTGTTGAAAAAATGAACTGTCTGAAGTATGGGAATCTTCAAACTATGAAAACATTTGAGTAAGGCCAGGCACACCTGAATTAGGTGGAAGTGCTACTATCTCTACAAATGGGGAAATGGGGGCAATGTTTGCAGAAACGAGTGATCTAAACTGAGGTAAGATGTTGGCGGGGTGCGGTGCCTCACACCTGGAATCCCAGCACTTTGGGAGGCAGAGGTGGACAGATCATCTGAGGCTGGTAGTTCAAGACCAGCCTGGCCAATGTGGTGAAACCCTGTCTCTTCTAAAAATACAAAAATTAGCCAGGTGTGGTGGTGGGCTCTGTAATCCCAGCTACTCAGGAGGGTGAGGTATGAGAATCGTTTGAACTCAGGAGGTGGAGGTTACAGTGAGCCAAGATCAGTCCACTGCACTCCAGCCTGGGCAACAGAGTGAGACTCCATCTCAAAATAAATCAATAAATAAATTTAGCTATGAGGCACTGGAATAAAGTCTCAACTCTGCAGCCCTTGCAGCTGGCCTGCTGAGGTCTTAACGGGCTTTGAGAGGCAGTTGTTGAAAACGCATCCTACTCACATCTGCATAGATGTTGGTTCCAAACACCGGAGCCCAGTGGGATGGTTGGTCTCTGCAGTGCGCTGGGCAATGGACTCTGGAAAACAGGAAGCATTTATGTGACGGGTCTGAGCACAGAAAACCAAACTTCTTGAGCTGGCTCTCTTCATTTGAATTCCAAGATTTAAGCACTTAGATGAAAGGAAAGTGCCATACAGTTTTCCTCTTTAAGAAAAAAAAAGCATTACTTTTCAGCAGAGGTAAAGATATTAATATTTTTGCTTCTGTTAAACAGTACAGATAGCACTTTTAAAAACACACATACATGTGCCGGGCGCGGTGACTGACACCTGTAATCCCAGCACTTTGAGACGCTGAGGTGGGTGGATCACAAGGTCAGGAGTTTGAGACCAGCCTGGCCAACACAGTGAAACCCCATCTCTACTAAAAATACAAAAAAATTAGCTAGGTATGGTGGCGGGAGTCTGTAATCCCAGCTACTTGGGAGGCTGAGGCAGGAGAATCACTTGAACCTGGGAGGCAGAGGTTTCAGTGAGCCGGGTACACTCCAGCCTGGCGACAGAGCAAGACTGTGTCTCAAAAAATAAAAATAAACATATACACAAAAGACAGGCACAAACAAAAAGGTAAAGGGAAGAAAATCTCAGAGAGAAGAGTGTGGAACTGTGAGGCCGCCCCTTCCATGCTCGGGTGTTGGCCAGTTCATGGGTACATTGTGGAGATTAGTATCGAGAGACTTTTTCTAGCCACTTCCCTGTGTGGAGGAGGAAAGGGTGGAGGGCCCTCACCTCGCTGAGTCACAGAATATTGCGAAGAAGGGACACTGACAACCTGGGGCGGAAGGGGTTAGATCACGCTGTGTCAGTCACCACAGCCCTACAGATGCCCCAGGAATAAGGAAAGTGCCTCTAACTGGAAATGGGTGACCCTGAGTGGTATGACAAACTCAAACCAGGAAAGAGCAGGGGCTTTATGTAAGAAAAGGTCTTCTGTGTTTATCAGGAACAGTCCACGTGGGCTGGAGCCCAGGGACCAAGAAGCCAAAATGGCAGGCGAAAGCCGCCTGGCCCCAGACGGGTAGGATGCTGGGAGGGGAGGAAGCCAGGCAAAGGGACTCAGAAGTTCAGACAGTTCTTACCGGCGGGAAGGCAAGGAAATGAGTAGGTAGAAAGAAAGGGTGTGTGTGTGGATTGGGAAAAAAAAAAAAAAAAAAAAAGGCCAGGCGCGGTGTCTCCTGCCTGTAATCCCAGCACTTTGGGAGGCTGTGGCTGGCGGATCACCTGAGGTCAGGAGTTTGAGACCAGCCTGACCAACATGGAGAAATCCTGTCTCTACTAAAAATGCAGAATTAGCTGGGCGTGGTGGCACATGCCTGTCATCCCAGCTACTCCGGAGGCTGAAGCAGGAGAATCAGTTGAGCCCAGAAGGCAGAGGTTGCTGTGAGCTGAGATTGCGCCACTGCACTCCAGCATGGGCAACAAGAGCAAAACTCTGTCTCCAAAAAAAAAAAAAATAATAACTGGGGAGAGTCTAAGAACATTCTCTCCTACTTCTTTTGGAATGTTGAACGCAGGTCAGAAATAAATTTTTTGATACTGTACTCTGTCACGTTTTTCTGTTTGTATTTTCTGAAATTCTTTCCATCTGCTTCTAATATTTAGGGAAAATCTATTAAGCCTAAGTGAGGCTGGTGGCCGAGGGAAAGGAGTCTGGACCCTTCCCCAACTGGTCACCCTCCCAGGGCCCTTCCCTGTTCGGATCTTGGTGTCACCACCTATTGTCCCTTAGGGAATTCACAAGCCTCCAGCCCAGGACAAGGGCTCACGAGGCCTCGCCACCCAGCCTCCAGGGCAGCTGTCTTCATCCCCACAGCATTTCCACCCAGGGTCCTGGGACCTCACTATATTTCTCATTCTGCAGTGGAGCTAAGTCAGAAAGTGCACTCTGTCTGAAGCGCAGCCCAGGATCACAGATGTATCACAGAATCTGAACCCTGGGGAGCATCTATAAAGTGGGTACGCCCCCAAGACCTGAGGCATTTTCCATCCGAGAAATCCTCGGCTCATTCAAATAAGGAGTTTCCTGTGTTCTCTTTCCAAGAGGATCTACCAGAAACTTTAGTGACACATGTTGCCAGGACACCCTTTATTTTGTGCTGGGAGGCACCGCCCCCCAAGGGTCAGTCATTTGGGGTCAGCTGCCTATAGAACCTACTCCTGGGACAAACCCATTGTCATGTGTCCACAGAATGGAATGCTGCATGATGATATGAAAGAAAAAACCACTGACACGCTCCCCAACATGCTGAGTCTTGAACATGTAACGCAGAGTGAGAGAAGCCAGACTCCCAAGGCCACACCCTGCCATGGCGCCATAATTTTGCAGAAAAAATAAAATCAGAGCAACAGAAAGAAGCGCCCTGGTGGCAGGGGTGTGGCTGGGAGGTGGAGGGAGAGGGGCTGACCACCAGGACAGTGATGATATGGGGTGGTGACAATGTCCTACACTCGGATGGATGGCAGCTGTGCAAACGTATGCCTTTACCAAAACACATCATGTACTTCTAACGGGTAGATCGTATCGTGTACCTCAATAAAACCAATTTTTTATTTTATTTATTTATTTATGTTGGGATGGAGTTTCACTCTTGTCACCCAGGCTGGAGGGCAGCGGCACGGTATCATCTCTCTGCAACCTCTGCCTCCGGGTTCAAGCGATTCTGCCTCAGCCTCTCGAGTAACTGAGATTACAGGCACCTGCCACCACGCCTGGCTAGTTTTTGTATTTTTGGTAGAAATGGGGTTTCAACATGTTGGCCAGGTTGGTCTTGAACTCCTGACCTCAGGTGATCCATGGCCTTGGCCTCCCAAAGTGCTGGGATTACAGGCAGGTGAGAGCGACCCCGCTGCCCCGTGGCCAAACCTTATTTTTTTAAAGCTACTGGTTTTTTTGTTTTTTTTTCTGAGACAGGGTCTTGCTCTGTCACCCAAACTGGAGTGCAATGCTATGTTCTCCACTCAATGAATGTAACTGCGCGTGTAACTGTGCCTCCCAGGTTCAAGCCATTCCGGTACCTCAGCCTCCTGAGTAGCTGGGACTACAGGTGCGCGCCACCACACCTGGCTAATTTTTAGTAGGGACAGAGTTTCACCATGTTGGCCAGGCCCGTCATGGACTCCTGGCCTCAGGTGATCCACCTGCCCTGGCCTCCCAAAGTGCTGGGATTATAGATGTGAGCCATAGCACCCAGCCTAAAAAGCTACCTCTAACAACTCCATAGAAAAGATGACAGATCAGGCCCGCCTTACCTTGGACAGTGGGTCGCTGGCTTTTCAAACGGACACAGCTGAGCGACAGTGGTGTAGCAATCCAAATCCTGCACTGTGAACAGGAGCAAGGGGGAAAGCGTCAGGTCCCGGCATGCCTGGGCCTCAGGCTACCGGGCTGTGAAATGGGCTGCTACACTACCAGGGCCTGTGGGTTCCCGGAGCCCTTGAACACAGCTGGGACTAGGACCCAGCGGGCTCCTTGTACCCCACGTGGGGCGCTCAAGAGATGAAACAAAACCCAGGGCCTGCATGTGTCTGTGGGTTGAGGGCTTTGTCACCCCCAGTCATTTCTCTGTGGGGCTGATGGTGCTTTTCATCTGAATGGTGACTGTCTTATTTGGAAGCTTTTCCTGACTTACCTCTGCTCCTCACAGCAGATATTACTCTGAGTATGTAGATGAGGAACATGAAGCTCAGAGAGCTTGGAATAGCCTCCCGAGGCCTCCCAGGACTGAAGTGGGAGCCTGCGTTTCCCATGCCCGCTCTAGAGCTCTTTCTGACCTGCTACCCACCTGCTGCTAACCATGGCACATCCATCCCTGCCCGGGGGCGAGGAACTTTTTTCTTCAAGGTCCTTAGTTGTGTTTAAACAACAGAGGTAAGGAAACAGCTCTAATACTGGCCACCTGTGATCTCTGACAGCCTGCCTGTATTTTGTCCAGGGCTAGGTCACCTTTTCCTTTCTGTTTTTTTTTTTTTTTTTTTGAGATGGAGTTTTGCTCTTTTTGCCCAGGCTGGAGTGCAATGGCGTGATCTCAGCTCACTACAACCTCCGCCCCACCGGGTTCAAGTGATTCTCCTGCCTCAGCCTCCTGAGTAGCTGGGACTACAGGCGCCCACTACCACAGCTGGCTAATTTTTGTATTTTTAGTAGAGGTGGGGTTTCACCATATTGGCCAGGCTGGTCTCAAACTCCTGACCTCAGGTGATCCAAACTCCTCTCAAAGTGCTGGGATTATAGGCGTGAGCCACCATGCATGGCCAGGTAAATTTTTTCTTAAAGGACTAGAGAGTAAACATATTTGGTTTTGTGCTTCTATGGTAAATGTCAAGATTAATCAACCCTGGGGTTGTAAGAGAGAGGAGCTACAGATGATGTGTAAATGAATGGGTGTAGCTGTGTTCCAATAAAACTTTATTTACAAAACCAGGCAGTAGGCAGGACTTAACTTGAGTCATCCTCTGCTGTACCCTGCTGGTCCAGTCTATCACTTGAACAGGCCATGGTTCTACATAGCTGTCTAACAAAGGGCATTGGCTTAGTAAAACAGGGAACTTCTATTCAATGGGAGATCATTCAGATTAAGTTTGGAAGAACATTTAAAGCAAAGGTGTCCAGGCCAGGTGCGGTGACTCATGCCTGTAATCCCAGCACTTTGGGAGGCTGAGGCAGGTGGATCACCCAATTCAAGACCAGCCTGACCAACGTGGCAAAACCCCATCTCTACTAAAAAAAAAAAGTACAAAAATTAGCTGGGTGTGGTGGCAGGCACCTGTAATCCCAGCTACTCAGGAGGCCGAGGCAGGAAAATTGTTTGAACCCACAAGGAGGAGTTTTCAATGAGCCAAGATCATTGCATCAGCCACTGCACTGTAGCCTGGGTGACAGAGCGAGATGCTGTATTTAAAAAAAAAAAAAAAAAACAGAAAGAAAAAATAGGCCTGGACACCTTTGCTTTAAATGTTCTTCCAAACTTAATCTGAATGATCTCCCATTGAATAGAAGTTCCCTGTTTTACTAAGCCAATGCCCTTTGTTAGACAGTGGTTCATACCTGTAATCCCAGCACTTTGAGAGGTCAAGGTGGGCAAATCACGAGGTCAGAAGTTCAAGACCAGCCTGGCCAACATGGAGAAACCTCATCTCTACTAAAAATACAAAAACTAGCTGGACATGGCGGCCTATTCCTGTAATCCCAGCTACTCGGGAGGCTGAGGCAGGAGATTCGCTTGAACTGGAACCCGGGAGGTGGAGGTTGCAGTGAGCCCAGATTGCGCCATGCACTCCAGCCTGGGCTACAGAGCAAAACTCTGTCTCAAAAACAAAACAAAACAAAACAAAACAAAAAAAATGCAAGGGTGTCCAATCTTTTGGCTTCCCTGGGCCACTCTGGAAAAAGAATTGTCTTGGGCCACCACACATAAAATACACTAACACTAAAGAAAACTATAAGCTACAAAAAGAAAAAAAGGTCCACGTAGAAATCTCATGTTTATGAATTTGTGGTGGGTCACATTCGACACTGACCTGGACCACATGCAGCCCATAAACCGTGGGTTGGACAAGCTTGATTTAAAGGCACAAAAATGTATTTCTGACACATACATACATGTTTTGAAACAGGGTCTTGCTGTGTCACTCAGGCCGGAGTGTAGTGGCACGGTCGTGACTCACTGCGGCTTTGACCTCCCAAGCTCAAGCAACCCTCCCATCTCAGACTCCACACTAGCTGAGATACAGGTCTCTGCCATCCCGCCCAGCTAATTTTGTGTATTTTTTTGCAGAGACAGGGTCTTGCTGTGTTGCCAGGGCTGGTCTCAAACTCCTGGGCTCAAGCCATCCTCCCACCTCAGCCTCCCAAAGTGCTGAGATTACAGGTGTGACCTACTGCATCAGTCAGGCATGTAATGATTTAAGAAAAAAATCAGGTTACCAAATTGTATGTAATTCCATTTCAAGTTTTAAAAGTCATTAATGTATATATTATCAACGTACATACTTTTAATTCATAGAGAAAACAAACTGAAACATTCGCCAAAGTTGATGATGGTTATCTCTGACTGCTGGAATTCAGGTTATCATTACAAACAAATGTTCCACTCCATGTTTAAATTATCTGGAACAAATTAGGCATTCTTTTTGCAATAAGAAGAAAAGCTTTTTTAATAAAGATATCTAGCTAGAACTTTTGCATCAAGGGCAAATGGTAAGAGTTGCTTTCCCCAAGGAAAGGCATGGTCTGCAGGTAGAGCTCCGGGGAGGAAGCTGACGTGGTTCCTGAATCCCTGCCTGCCTGAGATTATTCCAGTCAAAGGTACAGTGTGGGCAGCTATAATCCATCCCCCCACTTCTGGATGGAGTGTGTTCCCCCATCATGCATCACACCTTCCAAATGAACATACACTGAGCAATGTAAAAAGCTGGGCCAGAATGACAAGTAAGTGCCACGCACTTCCCTACACCTCCCTCTCTTGCCCATGGCAGACATTACTAATCTATCAAGTTCTGTTTTCTGCTGAGCCCAGATGGAGGCTTCAGAATCCTTAACACAACACCCCAGGTAGCCATTACCAATTGACAGAAAGTGGCACTTCCAATGAAACCTCTCAGACACGCTAGCCCCAGCCGTCAGTACATCTGTGGCATTCAGCTGGCAGCCTCAGCCCTGTGTTTCTGGCTCAGTGATCTTGGGCCAATTTCCAGTCCAGATATTCTTAGAAGCCGGTTCAAGAAATGACCTCTTGCAAAAGCCTTCACAGTGATGATAACCACAATGTGCACAGGCCTGACAAACATTAGATCAGTGACTAAAGGAAGTGAAATTTCCAGGAAAATCTGAGATAACCCAGGTATTATGGTCACAAAAAAGACTGGCCAGCAGCTTACCTTTAACTTTTGACACCGTGAATGAGCCAGAAGATTTGTATTTGCTGTTTAAAAAAAAAAAAGGATTTAGGTAAATGCAAACAGAATTGCTTCTAAAAGTGAACACTTGCTCCTGTACCCATCTTATTTGCAGTCTCGACTGGACACGTTTCTACTTGTTTCCTTTCAGTCTGAGGGCTGTTAGAATGTTCTAGAGCAGGGCATCTTAACTTCTTATGCACCAAGGAGGCTTCTGGTAGCCTGGTGAGGCCTATAGACCCTTCTAAGAAGAATGGTTTTCAAATGTTTAAGATTAATTTAATTTAAGCACAGCTGCAAGATAGAGGAATTTTAAAAAGATAAATTTAAAACATTACAAAGGAAGCTATTTTTACTATCATGATCAAATCATAAAAACACATTTGCATCAGAGCTGTGGGTTTTCTTTTTTCTTTTTTTGAGATGGAGTCTTGCCCTGTCGCCCAGGCTGGGGTGCAGTGGCACTATCTTGGCTCACTGCAACCTCTGCCTCAGGCTTAAGCAATTCTGTTGTCTCAACCTCCTGAGAGTAGCTGGGATTACAGGCACCCACAACCATGCCTAGCTAATTTTTGTATTTTTAGTCAAGATGGGATTTTACCACATTGGTCAGGCTGGTCTTGAACTCCTGACCTTATGTAATCCACCCGCCTCAACCTCCCAAAGTGCTGGGATTACAGGCGTGAGCCACGGCACCTGGCCTGCTTGACACTTTTCAGTTTCCACAACACGGTCATAAACAGGAAAACTTTCACGGAACCCTGATCACAGAACAGTTACCTGAGGGAATGCACGCCGTTTCTCTCGGACTTCACGAAAAAGGGGACCTTCCCGTTCCTGGTGATGTCCACCAGGCCTCCCTTGTTGTCCAAGACTCCGTAGTGGATGGCGGCGCGGCATATGCTGGACGACTGGTGGGAGGGGAGGGCCACATCAAAGACGGACTCTCAGTTAAGCTTTGTCAGCAATTTTCACAGAAATACCCAAATGTTTGTCTTCAACTCACTAAAAGCCCAAAGGACGGGCCAAAGTTCACCCCGCTCCTGCTTCTCGCCTCTGTCCACACCACACATTTGTTTCTGGGGTTGCTTACCTTACAAACTCATCCGAGTTGATTACAAACTAAGAACAGTGACAACCAGCCCTTTCTCCACACTCAGTCCAGCGTGGGAAGGCTCGGTCTAAGACAGAGACCGGCCTGCCGGAGGATCGGTCCCCGAAAGTGGCTTTGCCAGTTTGTAAGCCCTTCGATATACACCCGTACCAGTTCTAGAAACGCCAGGTTTGACTAAGGAGCGGCAAGAAAATCTTTTCCTGCTAAAGTCAACCACCTGCTTTAAACATACGCGATGGGATTCCACACTAGCCATTTAGAGAGGGGCTGGGCACACTCACACTCTCATAGAACAGAGTTCCAAAGATCTTTGCCTTGTGGTTCAAGCAGCCTGCCGGGCACTGGTACCTGAGGAGGAAGAAACAAAATGGAGCTCAGAGAGAAGCAGGTTGACAAAATCTCACCATGACTTCATCGTGTTTTTCATCCATAGCTCTATTACTAAATACTGAAAAGCTTCATTCACGTGGATTGCATTGTTTTTGGACAAGTCACGATTTACCCAGGTGCAGACTGAAGTTCCTATTCACACAATCACAATACAGTCATCTCTCAGTATCCGTGAGGGGCTGCTTCCAGATCTTCCCTAGGACCCCAGAGTCTGCGGAGGCTCAAGTCCCTTATGCAGTGTCCTCGTATTTCTGTATAACCTTTGCACCTTTCCCGTGTGCTTTAAACCATCTCTAGGTCATTTACGATAACTACCACAGGTAAGTGCTATGTGGACGGTTGTTACCTCACATTGTTTTAAAAATCTGTACCATTTTTATTACTGTATCGCAATACCATACACTTAAAAAAAATTTTTTTTTTGATCTGCAGGTGGTTGAATCTGAGGTTGGCTGAATCAGAGGCTGGTTGAATCCATAGAAACAGAACATCAACCATACTTTTTTTCATTAAAAAACAACAACAACAACAACAACAAAAAACAAAAAAAAACAAGGGCAGGCATGGGGGCTCATACCTATAATCTCAGCACTTTGGGAGGCCAAGGCAGGCAGATCACCTGAGGTCAGGAGTTTGAGACCAGCCTGGCCAGCACAATAAAACCCTGTCTCTACTAAAAATAAAAAAATTGGCTCGATGTGGTGGCAGGCACCTATGGTCCCAGCTGCTGAGAAGGCTGAGGCAGGAAAATCACTTGAACCCAGGAGGCAGAGGTTGTAGTAAGCCAAGGTCATGCCACTGCACTCTAGCCTGGGTGACAGAGCAAGACTCTGTCTCAAAAAACAAAAAAACAAAAAAAAAAACAAGACAGCATCTCACTCCATCACCCAGGCTGGAGTGTGTGGCTCCCTCACAGCTCACCGGAGCCTCAACTTCCTTGGCTCAGGCAATCCTCCCACCTCAGTATCCCAAGTAGCTGGAACTACAGGTGTGCACATCCACACCCGGCTAATTTTGGGAGTTTTGCCATGTTGCCCAGGCTAGTTTCAAACTCCTGGGCTCAAGCAATCCACCCGCCTTGGCATCCCAAAATGCTGAGGTTACAGGCACAAGCCACCATGCCTGACCTGCAAGGACTTGTTAATAGGGTAAAACTCAATGACGGTGTTGTTGTTCATGGAAGTATAAATCACTCTGATGCTTAAGAAAACCTTTAATAAAGCCTTAAACGTTCATATCCATTAGCTCTTCAGTCTCCCTTGCAAATATATATTCCAAGCAAAAAGTCAGAAAGCCAGACCTGCAAGCATATCCCAACTGTTTATTTATTTATTTATTTTTAATTTTTGAGACAGATTCTTGCTCTGTCACCCAGGTTGGAGTGCAGTGGCGCGATCTCAGCTCACTGCAGCCTCTACCTCTTGGGTTCAAGCGATTCTTATGCTTCAGCCTCCTCAGTAGCTGGGAATATAGGTGTGTGCCACCACACCTGGCTAATTTTTGTATTTTTAGTAGAGAAAGCGTTTCACCATGTTGGCCAGGCTGGCCCCAAACTCCTGGCCTCAAGTGATCCACCTACCTCGGTTCTGTCAAAGTCCTGGGATTGCAGGTGTGAACTACCATGCCTGGCCACAGCTGCATATAATGGTAAAAAGCTGGAAGTTAGCCAGCAGGTGGCAAAGCAATGGCTAAACATGGTCATGTGCAGCTGTGTGTCAGAGTATCACGCAGCCACTAAGCATGAAGTATGTGAGGCATATTTAGTGACTTTGGAAAATACTAAGCGAAAATACATAAGCAGGCTAGGCGTGGTGGCTCACGCCTGTAATCCCCGCACTTTGGGAGGCCAAGACAGGCGGATCACCTGAGGTCAGGAGTTTGAGACCAGCCTGGCCAACGTGGTGAAACCCCATCTCTACCAAAAATACAAAAAACGGGCCAGCTGTGGTGGCGCGTGCCTGTAGTCCCAGCTACTCGGGAGGCTCAGGTGAGAGAATCACTTGAACCCAGGAGGCAGAGGTTGCAGTGGGCCAAGATGGCACCACTGCACTCCAGCCTCGGACACAAAGCAAGACTCTGACTTAAAAAAAAAAAAAAAAAGCCGGGCGCGGTGGCTCACGCCTGTAATCCCAGCACTTTGGGAGGCCGAGGCGGGTGGATCACGAGGTCAAGAGATCGAGACCATCCTGGTCA